CCCCTCCTTCAAAATCAGGCAAATTAACTTAAATTTAGCCTCAACACACACACACACACACACAATACTGCTTTCTCCTTCAGACAAAAAAAAAAAATGATCTAGGAATTTGATAACATACGAGCACCCCAGATTTCAAGTATATCAAAATTCCTGCACCTGTTTTGACCAGGGCTTCGTACGTGCCCTGCAAATGGCAAAATGCCAGTGCAAAAACAAGCCGGACCCGAGGGAAGACTGGAGTTGGGAGGAGCCGACTCCCCACTAGGCCGCACTCTTCAGATTCATACTGGAATGTGATGCCAAGGAATCGAGACTCTTGTTGCTTGCTGAGGGGTCGGATATTACAGTACAGGGGTCAGATTTTTTTTTGGGGGGGGGGGAGTGAGCTGTCCTCTTGCGCACAAACACACAATCTTTCAAGGAGTGGAACGTCGTGGAGGGTGGGTTGCCAGAGCTGCGGGAGGGACACAGGAGTTCGGACACACTGGCGTCATACAGACAAGTCTTTTTAGGCACTTAGATTTTGGCTGGTGTAAGCCCCAGGTGTAGTCGGAAAACCAGTTTGGCAGTTTTTACTGGCCATGAAACAGCTGGGCCTCTCGGAAAAAGGTAAAAAAACAAAAACAAATTTGGAAAGAAAACACGTGCCATCATCTTCCCACTTAGCACCCGCTTTGTGCCCAAGTTTTGGGGGATACTGCACGTGCCTGTCTAGCTCAGAATTAGTTTTCCTTGGCTTTGCTGTTCTTGGACTTCCCGTTTTGGTGGACATCCCCGTTGGATATTGCTTTGCTGGATTTTGGGAGGCGCTTTCCTTTGGTGTAGGCCTGGTACCAAAAATTGGAAAAGAGCATGAAGAAGACCGTGCCGTAGATCCAGATGAGGTGGATGAAGATGGGGAATTGGTAGTCGCAGGTGGACATGAAGTAATACTGAGTAATGTGGATGGAGACCAGGACGAACTGAATCTATGGAACAAAGCAGAGCAATGGCTGAAGTATGGGACATGGGATGTGGGGTGAACACAATGCATCGACTGAACTCTGGGAGCTGTGCCCAGTATCGCCTCCGGCCATACTAGTCACCAGTATTGCCTTTGGTCTCCCCGCAGCTGATCTTTCCTTATCACAGACGTACCGCACCCTGTTCTGCACTGTGTATCTGTGGAGGTGGCCATCTGGGTAGAGGCATGGCTTTGCTTCCTCATTTTAGAGCCTCGGGCAAGCAGAAGAGTGGGTCACACAGTAGTGACATCACCAAACCTCACTCCAAATCTGGTGATATTTACGGATAAAGACATCAATGCCTTAGATCTCCCACTGCATGTATACAGCTATGAGGCTACAGAACAGGAGTGCCTAGTTACCCTCACATACCAGGAAGTGCACTGCTATTTTTCAGAAGGTACATTATTCTGGGTACTGTTTAGGCACAAATAACAGTTCTAAATGTTCCCTATATCATAGCAAATCTTCACTCTTTGAGTTTATGTCTACTTTACAATCATCTTGTTCGATCCTGCCCTCCTGCTCTGCAGAACATGGTAAATACACCTCGGTCAGTGCTTCTTCTAAAGATTTATTCTATAGGTTGGACTTGATGGACTTGTGCCTTTTTTCAACCTGACTAACTATGTAACTATGTTATTAGCCTCAAGGCTCAAAATACAGGTGAAACTCGATTAGAATATCGTGCAAAGTTCATTTATTTCACTAATGCAACTTATGCGGTGAAACTAATATATGAGAGAGACTCATTACGTGCAAAGCAAGATAATTCAAGCCGTGATTTGTCATCATTGTGATGATTATGGCTTACAGCTCATGAAAACCCCAAGAACCCCAAATCCACAACCTCAAAAAAGTAGATTATTACATGCAATCAATAAAACAAGGATTGTACATAGAACAATATCGGACCTCTGAAAAGTACAAGCATGCGTATGTACTCAGTACTTGGTTTGTGCCCCTTTTGCAGCACTTACTGCAATTACTTTTGCACGATATTCTAATTATTCGAGTTTCACCTGTAAGTGTAGAGAAGTCATAGGGCACTAACAAGCATTTGACTTGCTTCTTATGTAAAGGAGGCAAATATATAAAAGACCCCTTAGCTCATGTTTATATAACTTTCGAAACCAGCCAGCATGCTCACCTAAAGCTTAATTTCTGCTGAGCTAGCTGAATTAAGCTTTTAGAAGCAGGAGAGGAAGGGAAGGAGAGGTATGGCTAGAAGTTTGTGGTCACCTGACCATTATTATCTACATGAGCTTGTTGGACATCCCGTTCCAAAACCATGGCCATTATGTGGAGTTGGCCGCTCTTTGCGACATCGATTGCCTTCACTCTTCTAGGAAGGATTTTCACAAGATTCTGTAGTATGTCTATGGGAAACTGTGCCCTGTCAGCCAAAAGAGCATCTGTGAGGTCAGGTACTGATGCTGGAAGAGAAGACCTGACTCAAAATCAGTGCTTCCATTCCAAATTTAAAGATGTTCAGTAGGGTTGAGGTCGGGGCTCTGTCCAGGACACTTTATTTCAGACAGGTCAAACCACGTCTTTATGGTGCTAGCTTTGTACACAGGGCACAGGTATTCTGGAACAGAAAAGGGCCCTCACCAAACTGTTACCACAAGGATGAAATGCTAAAATGTCTATGTATGCTGTAGTATTAACAGCATCCTTCACTGGAAACACCTACAGTCAACCATTTGGGGAGGGGGATGGGTGTCCACAAAGTATTGGCCTTATAGTGCACGAAGGTGTGTGAACAGAAGAGGCCACACTGACAGTGGAGTGGGGCCCGCACCCGGGTGACACCATTGGAGGGGTGACACCAAAATGACTCACAGTCATTTTGGTGTCACCCCCCTCTGAAAAGTCGGGCGCTCGGTCATGGACCGAACGCCCGACAGTAGCAGGAGAGAGGAGGGGACCCGGCGGCATACCTTATCCCGCCTGGTGACTGTCCCCTCCTCTCTCGGCCGGCGTCCATCGCCAAGATGGCCGCCGGCAGGTATCAGAATGCTGCCGTGCGTGCGCGATGGCGTCTCGGCGGGGTGACACTCGGTTACCGCTCCTGCACACTGACCAAGGTGTATGGTTCACTTCTGCACAGCTGGTATGCAGGAGGACAAGATGGACCCATTGGTTTGATCCTCCTCTGGCTGTACTGCTGGGAGAACCAGACCCGTGTACTGTACTAGCATTTACTTAGGTTTCTTACCAGCTGGATGGCGGTCATGTGCTTCTTCCACCAAAGGTACTTCTGGAAGCGTGGCCCGGCAGCAGAGAGCCCATAGTAAAAGTACATGATGACATGGACTAGAGAATTGATCATGGCGTGGAAGGATCCCATACCACCTGCCAGAGAGAAGAGAGACATGATCAGCGGGCCATGGCAGGAACAGCAGAGGTCATATCAAGCCAGAAAGATTCTCAAGTTCTTACCTGGACCAAACTTAACACCCCACCACCAGCTCCAGGGCAGGACAGAGTGATGGAAGATGTGGAGAAATGTAATCTGTCCATTTTTTTTCCTCAGCACAAAAAAGACCTGACAGGGAGAGAGATAAAAACAGCAGACTTAGCAAGACAGAACACAGGCAAGACAAGTCCTTAAAGCAATATACCCCGAGTGAATAACATTTACATTGCTAAAGCACTGTGTATCATAAACAATTATACATTTTCTATAAAAATCTATTTTTTTACCGACTATCATTTTTTTATTTGCATCTTTTTTTTTTCATCCTTTGTTGCAGCCACTTCCAGTCTACATGCACTCAAGCAATGGCTGCATGGCATCTCATGGCAGGTTTCTGATGGGGACCAACTCTTGCCCATGCCTTTACGGCCACTTGTAGTCTCCATCTGAAGTCTGTGCGACAAGGAGACAACGGAGGAGCACAACTGGGAGACAGGGACAGAGTGTTGTCACCCTATAACAGGAAATGCCTGAACAAGGACCTTCATTGCGGGATCACTGGGGTTTACTTAGCAGATTTAAAAAAAATTGGAAAACGACTTTTATAATGGAACATGATAATAGTTTACATGAGATTTTGGTGATCTGTGAAGTTCATCTAAAGCCAAAACATTTATTTTTTTGATTTTGACAAAGTAGGGAAAGTGGGGAGATTCATCCTCTCTATATGTCCTGGTGACCACTGTCTCCAGGACGCAAGATGAAGGAATATCAAAAATTCTGAGTTGTCAATGAAGCAGGAACTGAGGGGAAATCATCCAAAAGGGGCACCTGTTGTGCCGACAACTAAGTGAGGCTTTCCTGATCACTTCCTGATGTCACTTTGGGACTGGAGGTAAAGGGAAAACTCTACAATGGGACATTGACGACTAAAAACCCCCCAAAACAATAATTCTAGGAAGGCTTTTAACCAATCCTTATTCTATCCAAAACAAAAAACAAGTTTGGGGTTTACAAGCGCCAAAAACAAAAAACAAGTTTGGGGTTTACAAGCATTTCTATATGTCCTGGTGACCACTGTCTCCAGGACGCAAGATGAAGGAATATCAAAAATTCTGAGTTGTCAATGAAGCAGGAACTGAGGGGAAATCATCCAAAAGGGGCACCTGTTGTGCCGACAACTAAGTGAGGCTTTCCTGATCACTTCCTGATGTCACTTTGGGACTGGAGGTAAAGGGAAAACTCTACAATGGGACATTGACGACTAAAAACCCCCCAAAACAAACATTCTAGGAAGGCTTTTAACCAATCCTTATTCTATCCAAAACAAAAAACAAGTTTGGGGTTTACAAGCGGTGACGTCACCATTTAGCTGGATGGGAAGGCACAGATCCAGGGGACATCGCTGCAAATTCAGAAGTGGAAATGTGGTGTTGTCGGCACAGGAAGTGAAGCCACAACAGGAGGACTGGCGGAATCAACAGGTAAATACTTGACAATGAAGGGACATTAAAAGATGGCAGATGAGGGGCGGTAATAGAAAGGCATTATTGGATGTTTAAGGAAAGTTTGTGTTTTGCTAAATCATAGCAGTTATGATGATCTAAGCCAAATCCCAGCTACGGAAATATATCCAGCTGCAGCCTAGAATGAGGTTTGTTGGCGACAGTTCAATTGAAATCTGCAGTCACTGCACCCCTACGGCCATGGCTTCCCAGCCCATAGGAAGTGAACATATTGGACGTTCGTTATTTTACATAAAGAGGTGTGTTCAAGAAGCCAACGAATACTCAACAGCCAGTAAGAATTCATCTTCAGTTGTTAGAGTTGAGCTGAGGCCTCATCCACATGGACCTCCTGCGCTTGTTTTATACGTAGGAGAGATTGATCTGGGAAGTATAATGTTTGTTTGCCATTTACATATAAATCAGTTTACATGTGAATGTGTTCCATGCAGGCTTTTCCTTCCATACTCATGCATGTGCATGCGTTCATAGTATCTAATCTGCCCCTGGACGCTCAGATTTCGGTTTGTCCTAAACACAGTGAAGGAAATTTATCAAAACCGGAGCAGACGAAATCTGGAGCGGCTGGGCACGGCAACCAATCAGCTTCTCGCTTTCATTTTCAAATCTCAACTGAACAAACTGAAGAGAGAAGCTGATTGGTTGACATGCACAGCTGCTCCAGATTTTGTCTGCTCCAGTTTTGATAGATTCCCCCCAGTATAAATAATACAATTTAAAATCATTACATGTATTTATGTGTATATAACTGGGTGAATGTATTTGCCCCTGTGAATGAGGCCTAAGAGAAATAATGGCTCTGCAATCTGCACATGATGAGTGGTCTTCTCCTTGCCAGTAAGAATTCTATTTGCACTGCAGATGTCGGGGCCAATTCACTGAACAGAAATGTGCATTTCATCTTCATTGAATCTGCTTGCGGACAGACTCCATTTCACTGTAATGTACACAGCATGAGAAATAACACTTACGGTATCAAGGAGCTCAATGAATTTGGAGAACAGGAAGAGCCAGGCTACTTGTACCATCTGAAAATAGCAAAAATAACAAAAGAGTTAGAATTTCACATAAAGCATTCTCCCTCTCATGGATCGGGCACCCTGTAACATCTTCTGGCTGGCAGGGCACACTTAGGGCTTCATTGGTAAAGGTTCCACCAGGCGGATGCCATTCGCATGGCACTAGCACCCCTAGATACCGAGATTCCTGTACTCAACTAGAGAGCTAGGAAAACTGAAGACCTGCAAATTGTCCGTCCCTCAAACTGCAAACCTCGCACAAGCCCAAGGGGTTCGTTTATAAAAGATCTATTGGGCGTCCTGAAGCTCCTAAAGAGGACAAAGTCCTGATGGTCACGGGCTACTCTTGGATTCACAGATCCATTAGGTGGATATGAAAACTGTCCGGTAGAAAGCGTGTGATCCAAGTGTCCCAAATTGCCTTTTATTTGCTCACGCTGTCCATGAGTTTTGTTGCAGATGTCCAACTTGAAATGGATTCTGGATTTATTCTGGATTTGACCTCAGAGTGTGCAGCACAGCCAAGCTTTCACAATGGTCTGTTTTGGTGCTGTCAGGACATGTGCCATAAGGGTAAATTGGTATTTCGTAAGACCCTCCCTGCTTTTGGGTTGAGGAGTGCCTCACAAGGGTTCTCATGAATACGGTTTTGAAGCATAGCATAGACCAGGGTTAGGCAAACTTCAGCCCTCCAGCTGTGGTGAAACTACAAACCATTATACCTCTTCCTCTTGGAGTCATGCATGTGGCTGTCAGAATACCCAATAGGCATTGTAGTTCCACAACAGCTGGAGGGCCATAGTTTGCCTACCGTCTTCCACAATTAAACCTTGCCTTTTCTATGGAGAAAAGGGTTTGCGTCCACACGCAGATCACATTTGCATATTGCCCAAGTCAGAGAGACATCATGCGAGTTACCAACAATACTTCAACCTCTCAAGAACTTGTCCCTGATGGGTTAGAAGCCAGACAGATCCCTCAATGTCTATCATTCTCACGGAGATGACGGCTCGTCTCTGTCCGCTCATATAGTTAGAAGAATTATGATCGCTAATGCAATTCGTCAGACTCTACTAAAGCAGGACGTGATATACAGTCATGTTTTATAACGCCATAAAACCAGAGGCAAGTCATGGCAGAGGTGGGAGAGTCAGCACAGGTTAATAGGACTAGTAATGAGGGACACAGATAAGGGGTGAAGCTGCGTACCGATCACCGCCATGTTTACGTACAAAGTTCAGCAAGTGGCAGGTGGTACAAGGTGGCCCGGGCGGCACAGACCTGCCCACTATGGATTTTTTGGCAGTCATGAGTCATTATCTAAACATTATAAAAGCTTACCCCCCACACAGGAGAACTCACTCACCCGCAAGCCCATTGGCGAATCCGACTGATCCACGGGGTCACACTTCCAGGTGTATCCAGTCAACCAGCCTGACATAAGAAACTAAAAAAAAAGACAATTGCATGTTATGCTTCTAGCAGAGGCTCTGTTATCCATTTATTACTGCAATAATCGCTATCGGGACTTGATAAATAGCACAATATGCTCAGTAGCTGAGATCTAAAGTGAACCTATAGTCAAAAGATAAAGCTGTACTCTGAGGATAGATAAAAAGTAACAGAAGGGCTCAATCTGCTTCACAGGTAGTAATATGATCACATGACATCCACGGGGTGCATGCTGGGTGGACAGAAGATCCTACAACAGGGTGTCATCATGCAGTTCTGAAAATTAGATCCAGTGCCAGGACAAGCTCCTTTAGCACCCAAGGAGGGAAGGCCAGATGGGTAAAGTCCGACTGCTTGACTAGAATGAACTAGACTGTTCAAATCAATGTACAGTGGTACCTCGGTTCACGATTCTGATCGCGAACCGAATCAAACTGTGATCAGACCGCAATCTCGACTAGAGGAAGCCACGACCACGTGTCAGAGCAGGGAAGATGGCTGGGGTTGTGTTGCGACACCCGATGCGGAGTTCGTGAACGGAAGCAAAATTTTGCTGAACTTCCTGTTCTCGAACCGAATTGTTCGCGAATAGAAGCGTTCGTGAATCGAGGTACCACTGTATATACTGTATAATGGATCTTTTATGAATAGGGGTAAAGGGAGGGACAGAAAATTGAATTATTTGATCCTTCCTACACAGAGGGATCTCCCCTCCCTCTCATGTGACAACCAGTCTGGTATCAGCACATCTATGCCGACTTATAGGAGCACAGAGCTCCTATAAGTCATACAATTAGGGATCTAACCAGGTTTGGGCTGAGGGATACGCAGACAAGCCCGGGGTGCTTCAGTAGGAAGGAGTGCCTCAAAAGAGGGCAGGACCAGCAACCTATGCTGCTCAAGAAGTTCACAGCTCATTGGTGGGAAGGGGGGGGGACTGGGTCACACTTTGGCCTCACTTGTGAGGGGGGTGATAGTGTGCCACATCCCTTCTCCTCCTGCTAATGAGCTGCGATCTACTTCAGAAGCAAAGGTTGGCTTTATTGGGGGAGGCGCTTGCTCTCTTTTGGCGGGTCTTTGCACATAGGTTAATGAGAGCACTTCAAAATGAGAAACAGTCCGATCTCCAATCGATACGGTTTAATGGAGTTACTGTTTGAACTATTAGTAATGTACAGAATGGCAGAGATCCTACAGTTCTCTCATACGGGTGAGAAAACATACAACTACATATCCTAACATGCTCTAACATTTCTACTTCCACACACATGTGGGAACCATGGCGTTATGTTGGTGTCCTGTGAATGTCACTCACCTCATAAACAATATAAGCAGACACCCCCACCAGGCTGAAGTTGTACAGCACCATCAAAGGCTTCAGGTCAAAGGGCTTCCTATTGGCCATAATCCGTGGCCCCAAAGACAGGACGAAGTAGACATAGGCCAGGAGAATGGTGCCAGGAAGGAAAGGCGAGTGCATGAGGGGGTAATGACCTATCCTGGCATCTGAGGAAACACAGAGGACAGAAAGTTATGTATAACAGACATTTACCTTTTCAGGGGTCATTGAATTCCTTTCAGTATCTAGATGGCTGAGTCAATATTTTATGAATAGGTTAAAAACACTATATGGCCAAAAATCTGTGAACACCTGACCATCCCACCTACATTATGTGGCCAAAAATGTTTATCAAACCCCCCGGATTATTGGGTTCCATTGAAGAGTATAGTTAATGATACATCACACAAAGACCTTTTAGACAAGTGTTCTTCCAGCCTTGTGGTAACAATTTGGTGAAGACTTTCTGTTGTTCCACCATGACTGTCCCCAGTATACAAAGCCAGCTCCATAAAAGACATGGTGTGACCAGTCTGGTATGGAGGAACTTGGGTGTCCTTCACAGAGCCCTGACCTCAACCCTACTGAACACCTTTGGGATGAACTGGAACATGTGTCAGCTCTTCTCATTCAACATCAGTACCTGACCTCACAAATGGGCACACATTGTGATCTTCCAACCTTGTGGTAACAGCAGTTTGGTGAAGACTCTTTTCTGTTGTTCCACCATGACTGTCCCCTGTGTACAAAGCCAGCTCCATAAAGATATGGTGTGACCAGTCTGGTATGGAGGAACTAGAGTGTCCTGACCTCAACTCTACGAACACCTTTGGGATGAGTTGGAATGTCCAACTGCAAGCCAGGTCTTCTCACCCAACATCAGTACCTGACCCATCAAATGGGCACCAATTCCCACAGACGCACTCCAATATCTTGTAGAAAGCCTTTGCCAAAGGGTTATGGCTGTTACTGCTACAAAGGAAGGCCAGCTCCACATTAATACCCACGGTTTTCCAATGGGATGTCCAGCAAGCCCATGCGGGTGTGATGGTCAGGTCTCCACAAACAGTTGGCCATGTAAGTGAACTTTGATCAGATTCATTAGAATTCACTCCCCATATTCATGTAAGGAGGACATAGTGCAGAGCAAATGACTTGGCCACCTTGCTGCTTCAAGTAGATGTAAATAACTTCCCTCATTGGCTCCCTTTTGGTCTGTCTTGTTATATCAACCATAACGGTTCCCATTCAGTGACTCAATAAGGAGCGCAGTCAGTATTAGATAAACTGATGCAAATTTTACATTTCAAATAAATTTGCCAGCATTGGCGGCCCCCATACAGGAGTAACGTCAGGCAGTCTAGTGACGTGAGCAACGCTACCTGACCACACAGGTCCTGAAAGTCATTTATAGGAGAATTGTAATGTGTAGTTATCCTTGAAGTCTTGATTTTCACTATGTACTTACATGTGAGCATCCATATTAGCACAGGACCTCTACGCAGTGGGCTTCCTGCTTAGTTGTGCAGCACAGTAATTAGGTTTATGGTTCCTTTTATCCCAGCGTATGATCAGAACTCACTTTCGGTGAAAAAAATACTCTTCAGATGGATTGTTTAGTAGCTGACTCCAGTCATTCAACGAGGACACTGACTGCACTAACACAGACAGCCACCAGAGGGAGCATATGCAAGTCTGAAGCCATTTTGGATAGAGCATGGAATGTTCTATACTGCGAGTCTAGAGGAAAAAACTTCTTCAGATATTTGCAGACATCTAGGAGGTGTACGGGCCAACAGGTAAAGCTCTGACGCTTCCTGGTTAGGTTGCGGCATGCAACCTTGTCCCCACCCGCCTCACATTCCTATTGGCCCATAACTCCAATGAGCTGGCCCATGGGCCAATAGGAACGTGCAGGTGGCAGGAAAGATTCAGAACCATGAGGGAGAACCTGAACCAAATAACCTCTCTCAAGTTGTTATAATAGTACGTCCTTCCCTTGTATTCTCTCCTGGTCAAAGCAGAAATGTCAGGCAGTAAGGTCCCCCATGGAGGCTGACCTAACTTCTGCCTGAACTCAGGACTGATAACCGACACTTGGGTCCAGGTTGCTGGAGGAGCCCCCGGTTTTACGCTGCACCGTACACACAGAAAATAATAAATCACCAGGAACAAGATAATGTTTTTGGCAAAAATGACTTTGTATGTCACTTCTGTCAAATAAAATCAATAAAAAACTTCTGCTCCAACTGGGAGAGAGTACCAGTGAATAATACTAATAAAAACACAAGTAATCCCGGATACGTTTATAACCAAAAGTGGAGATTAAAGGATTAGAAATGGCCATTGGTGACCGGTCCTCTTTAAGATGAACTATTAGGAGTTAACACAATCAGAACATTTATAGAAAGCAGCAACCAAACCCAGCGGGCCGGGAATAAATGAAGCAGATTAGAGGGTGATAATTAGTAGCTTCCATCTCTAAACATCTGCATTCATTGATCGGAAGACAGAAGAGAAAAGGCAAGAGCTCTAATTATATATTTGCAAGAGGACTGTGAGCTGGGGGGAAGGGAAGGCACCCCATGTGACCCTGCAGACGCACTGATGCGTGACGCATAGTTAAGCGGACAGGTGATCGGGTGTCGGTGGCCGGGATATTTTCATATTGTTCTACCTATCGCCATTGATATCATTTGCATTCTCTGCATATTTCACTTCAGTGGAGTAACACATGTGACACGGTGCGGCCTTTGCTGAAAATCAGCCTTTTTTATTTTTCAAATCTCTGACTCTAAAAAGGAAACCTGTTTGGAATTCGGGAGCACCGAACAGTCTCTGTACCTTTTCAACCAGAGCTCCGTGGAACACCGGGGGTTCCTCCAGGGGTTGTTAGCTGTCCCTTGAGAAGAGAGCAGTGGCTGACCTATGTCCCAACTACACTGACCACCGACGTAAGGGGTCCCTTCCACACTGACCACCGACGTAAGGGGTCAAGTCTACACAGACCACCGACGTAAGGGGCCCCTTTTCCACTGACCCCCGACGTAAGGGGCCCCTTCTACAATGACTACCGACGTAAGGGGTCAAGTCTACACAGACCACCGACGTAAGGGGCCCCTTTTCCACTGACCCCCGACGTAAGGGGCCCCTTCTACAATGACTACCGACGTAAGGGGTCAAGTCTACACAGACCACCGACGTAAGGGGCCCCTTTTCCACTGACCCCCGACGTAAGGGGCCCCTTCTACAATGACTACCGACGTAAGGGGTCAAGTCTACACAGACCACCGACGTAAGGGGCCCCTTTTCCACTGACCCCCGACGTAAGGGGCCCCTTCTACAATGACTACCGACGTAAGGGGTCAAGTCTACACAGACCACCGACGTAAGGGGCCCCTTTTCCACTGACCCCCGACGTAAGGGGCCCCTTCTACAATGACTACCGACGTAAGGGGTCAAGTCTACACAGACCACCGACGTAAGGGGCCCCTTTTCCACTGACCCCCGACGTAAGGGGCCCCTTCTACAATGACTACCGACGTAAGGGGTCAAGTCTACACAGACCACCGACGTAAGGGGCCCCTTTTCCACTGACCCCCGACGTAAGGGGCCCCTTCTACAATGACTACCGACGTAAGGGGTCAAGTCTACACAGACCACCGACGTAAGGGGCCCCTTTTCCACTGACCCCCGACGTAAGGGGCCCCTTCTACAATGACTACCGACGTAAGGGGTCAAGTCTACACAGACCACCGACGTAAGGGGCCCCTTTTCCACTGACCCCCGACGTAAGGGGCCCCTTCTACAATGACTACCGACGTAAGGGGTCAAGTCTACACAGACCACCGACGTAAGGGGCCCCTTTTCCACTGACCCCCGACGTAAGGGGCCCCTTCTACAATGACTACCGACGTAAGGGGTCAAGTCTACACAGACCACCGACGTAAGGGGCCCCTTTTCCACTGACCCCCGACGTAAGGGGCCCCTTCTACAATGACTACCGACGTAAGGGGTCAAGTCTACACAGACCACCGACGTAAGGGGCCCCTTTTCCACTGACCCCCGACGTAAGGGGCCCCTTCTACAATGACTACCGACGTAAGGGGTCAAGTCTACACAGACCACCGACGTAAGGGGCCCCTTTTCCACTGACCCCCGACGTAAGGGGCCCCTTCTACAATGACTACCGACGTAAGGGGTCAAGTCTACACAGACCACCGACGTAAGGGGCCCCTTTTCCACTGACCCCCGACGTAAGGGGCCCCTTCTACAATGACTACCGACGTAAGGGGTCAAGTCTACACAGACCACCGACGTAAGGGGCCCCTTTTCCACTGACCCCCGACGTAAGGGGCCCCTTCTACAATGACTACCGACGTAAGGGGTCAAGTCTACACAGACCACCGACGTAAGGGGCCCCTTTTCCACTGACCCCCGACGTAAGGGGCCCCTTCTACAATGACTACCGACGTAAGGGGTCAAGTCTACACAGACCACCGACGTAAGGGGCCCCTTTTCCACTGACCCCCGACGTAAGGGGCCCCTTCTACAATGACTACCGACGTAAGGGGTCAAGTCTACACAGACCACCGACGTAAAGGGCCCCTTCTACACTGACCACCAACGTAAGGGGTCAAGTCTACACAGACCACCGACGTAAGGGGCCCCCTTCTACACTGACCACCAACGTAAGGGGTCAAGTCCACACAGATGGACAGTAAATGGTACATTTTAGATCACCCTGCAAAGGTTAGCAATAGGCACCTTTGCTCTTTGACACCGAGGTCCTGGATGCTCTCCCCATGTCCATTGCTTCCCCCGGGGTCTTCACTCAGAACCCAAATGCACCATGGCAGATTAATCAACTATTGATCACACTGATCCCAGACTGAATATTGATTTAGAGGAGACCTCCACTTGACCACTGTCCAGAATCGTTACACACCTTACCTGGAGAAGGGCCCTGTATGATGTCACAAAATGTGCTATTGGTGCAACAACGCATGCTGTTTTGACTAATCCAACTGATCTCATGTTTATTATCGGAGTCCTCAGATCAATACTCGAACCCTTTGACAGATTTACCTATAATTTAACTATAATGGAACGTCGGACCTCCAGCTGTTGTGGAAATACACGTCCCAGGAGGCAGAAGGATGATGGATTGGTAGTTTCACCACTGCTGGAGTGTTGAGGTTACCTACCTCTGCTATAAAAGGGTTTTCACTTTTTCGCAGTGTTCATACAACATTTCCTTTTATTTGCAAAAGTACAAAATGATCGCCTCTGTGAAGACGACGGGTCATCTTTAAAAGGAAAAGAAAAGTCAAATTGTTCATCTGTACAATGTGGAGTCTTACCTGCTCCTTTCATGAAGTCGTGATAACGCTGCACCCATTGTGAGAGCACGGCCTCCATCTTTGCAGCTCCTCACAGCCTAAAGGAAAGACAGGAAGTGGAGGTTACAAGAGGTTTAGATCACAAGTAACTGACAAACTGTTTTTGTAAATGGGTCTGAGGCATAAAATGCAAAAAAAATGGAGATTAAAGCAAATATCATCCAAATACCAGAACCATGTGTATTCTATATTGAATCTCGGTGACCTTTGTGTATTTCTTCCAGATCTGTGCAGTAATCCCGTGTGAGACTAGGAGCTTCCTGTAATAAAGACCGATCACTGCTGCTAATCTTTTTATTGAAAGATTCAAGCAACTTTTATACAAAGGTAACAAAACATAAACGTAGTGTAAACTGTACAAAAATCAAAAATAAATAAAACAATATTCCCCCATATTATATACATGTTGTATACACAGACAAGCAATAAAGCCTCATCACTGTACAAAAGGACTCAAGCGTAAAGATCCACCAACTATTTACATAAAGCAGCAGAGAAGGCCTAAGAGGCACAACCCGTCACCTATGCACGCAGCCATTTTTCAAAAATCTTAAAGAACAAAAATCTAGGGTGATAAGAGACAGACAGCCACACACCCGGAGAGAGACTCCTGCAAGTCAGGGAGGCCTGATACCCCTCCACGCCTTCAACCAAGCCCCCTGCCTCCACTTGTCTCTCTCAAGCACCCGAATCTTCCCCACCGCATGCAGAATGTCACTCACCACCACCGGGACAGGAAGGATTTTAACCGGTCACTGCTGCTCTCTCTCCTTGTGCAGGGTGACTGGTCTTGTCTCCACCCCCTCCTGTTTTTTGAAGGCTATATGTAGTAGGTGAGGCCTGTCGGGTCCCTCCCACAGCTTCGTTGTCTGCACAGGCAATTATGCCACTGCTATTTTAACAAGATCATGCCTGGGTTTGTAAACAACCAGAACAGGAGGTAGGGGAAAATCTTCAATGGGGAGAAGATTTCAATGCGTTAACCATTGCGCTGGGTTAACGCATGTGTTATGCCACGCATGAGCATGCATTGCAGTATTACTAGACTATTTGCCGTATACCCCAGTGGTTCTGGATGTACATCTGGCTGATGGGGCGTAAGGAGTGACTTGCATGTCTCCACCCACTGTCCCAAAATGAGGTCCAATCCTCTTATTTTTGGGATATGTGGCCTGCGATACCTTTTGTTCCAAGGAGCTTTTTCTGTGCTACATACAGCTTGACTTAAATCAAACTTGGGAGGACAATGCAGGGACTCGGCTCCTGAGTAGGAAGGAAGTGATCGCCAAAGCGCAGATACAAATCGAAGATTTAGGAACATTTTGTCCATCAACCAGACCGCTACATTAATAAAGAGCACTTTCAGGGAAGTGAAAGCAATTACTGAGCTACAAACGCTTTACAGTAAACCATACAACGGAGCGGACATCACAGCGCGTCCTCATTTCACCGTGAAGAGTATAATGTATACCAGGGGAAGGCAACCTCGGCCCGCATCTGGGAGTCTTGCAAAGCCTTATGGGAGTTGTAGTTTCACCACAGCTGGAGTGCCGAGGTTGCCGACCCCCGATTAGATCAGTGTTAGGAAACCTTGACCCACCAGCTGTTTTGGAGCTACAAGTCCCATAAGGCATTACAAGACTGACAGCCACAGGCGTGACTCCCAGACAGAGGCAGATGGGATTGTAGTTGTCGGTCCCTCCTACAGCTCGGCCTCCCTGTATTTTCTAAAGACAGGTTTCCTTTAATTCGGACGCTCCCAAATTGTATTGATCAGTGAAAAATCCTGCTTATTGATTTCTACATTCCTCAGCGGTGACCCGAGAGTTGTTATCTGACAAAATGTTTGTTCTTTCCATCGATATTTCCATTTCCACCAACTGCGATGGTGGCCGGTCCCCCCCGGAGATCAGTAGAACAATAAGCAGTGACTTGTCACCCGAAATAAGTAATTGCAGACACATGACCCACACAGGCCTCGTCATTAGCATTACCTCTTCCAATGGCAGCGGCCTCCTGCGTTATTTACATCCTAGTCGTCAAAAATCTAGTCTGGCGCCTGTGCCATAAAAAGGTCAACAATGATGTTGCTTCAACGGTACCGGTATGTGCCATTCAAGTCTTTGGGCCACTTCTCTATACCAATATGGCAGTCCACCATCACTGGAGAAAAGTAAAGCACCTGGGTGGGTGGAGCTCAGGATCGGGAAGTGAGCTGGGGGTTGGAGCTCAGGATCGGGAGGTAAGCTGGGGGGGGTGACTGGGTGGAGCTCATTTTTTTTTGGAAGCTGGGGGGGTGACTGGGTGGATCTCAGGATAAGGAGGCAAGCTGAGGGGTGACTGGGTGGAGCTCAGGATCGGGAGGTAAGCTAGGAGGGGAGACTCAGGATAGGGAGGTGGGTTTGTGTAGCTCAGGATAGGGAGGTAAGCTTGTGGGTTTTAAATCAAAGGTGAGCTTGTCCTTTAAACGTACAGCACACAAGGGAACTTGCCTTGTGCTCATGTAACATAAGGCATGATATTTCATAGGTCTTGAACAGTCTACTGTAACAAAAATCTCCACCATGGCAGTGACTCCCCATATCAGGTCCATGTCTATATAATAGGCTTGTGCGGGTCATATGGCGAGTACGGAATGTGCATCTCGAATGAGAGTCTCATCGCCAAGCCCCTTGCCCTGGAAAACTGCAAAAAAAGAATCTAAATCGCACCGTTCAACTTCCTGTCATTTATAGAATTGTTACTCTGTTACTATATCATCGTTACTTTCCATCTGCACTGATTGCTATACATTTGTAGGACGGCTCACTGTGGCAAAGGGAGAGATTTTTGTGCATTACTGCTGCAAATTCTACCGGCTCAGTCACAGAAAGGGCCCCAAACCTTTCACTGCGTGTCCTCACATGAAGTCGCAGCATCGCCGATACAAGTAGAAGCAAGTATCACCGACATTTCCTGCTGCACATTATTGTCCTGAATTTTATATCTCAGCATCCCAGGGCGACTCATCAGATACAACCTGAGTAATGTCTGTATTATTATACAGGATTTATATAGCGCCAACAGTTTGCGCAGCGCTTTACAATATAAAACGGAGACATTACCGTTACAATTCAAGACAAGAGGAAGGGCCCTGAACCTGAGAGCTTACAATCTTTAAAAAAAAAAAAAAAAAAAA